GAGAAGAGGAGAAAAGGGGGGAAGGGAAGGAGAGGAAAGAGGAGAGAAGAGAAGAGGGAAAAAGAAGGAAGGGAAGGGGAAAGGGAAGGAAAGAAGAGGAGAAAAGGGAAGGGAAGGAGAGAGGAAAAAGGGAAGGAGAGGGAAGAGGAGAGGAGAAAAGGGGGAAAGGGAAGGAGAAGGAAGAGGAGAGGAGGAAAGGGAAGGAGAAGGAAGGGAAGAGGAGAGAAGAGAAGAGAGAAAAAAGAAGGGAAGGCAAAAAGAGAAGAAGCTAGGCTAAACTAGGATAGGATAGACTACACAAATTTAGGCTGGATTAGGCTAATCCCAAAAAGAATGCAACGCTCTAGTTAGCAATCCATTAACAGTCTTCAGAGGAAACGAGTTGTCTATGGATGTTAAACCCAGTTTGTTTGCTCCTGTTGCTGCCACTCTCTGCGCTATGTGAGCTGATTTGGGCACCCCCAAGGTCATCGGGCCTTTGCTTGAGCCTTGTTGCTTGTCTTTGGGAAAAGCAAGAGCCTCCTGGAGTTTCCCCTTTGGGATTGGGGGAGGAATCCTTCCCCCTTCATCCCTTCCTTTGCCAAGGCAACCAGTTAATGTTTGCCTCTTTTATTTCCCAACCCACAACATCTCAAATCCTGATCTGTTCCATCTTGGGCCATGACAGCGAGGCACAAAGCCTGGGGAAACTAGTGCATTCCACCGCTGAGAAGAGTGGTTGATCCGAAGCCCCAGTAGATGCCTCCTAGGAAGGAATCAATGATTGGCAAGGAAGAAGAAAGAGGAGGGATCGCAAGGGGAGGAGGAAGGAGGGGAAAACACCTATAAAAAGATGCCTTTTCATGCCCTTCCAAACCTTTTATAGCATCCGGGGTTCATTTGCACAGATGTGAAGGAAACCTGCGGTTGGAAATAATATGCCAGTTATTTTTAATCCGGCCACAGGAAAGTAATGAAATCCTCGGGTCATCTTAGGAGAAAGCATTTACAAGGTTTTGAATTCCCTTCCCAGGAGAAAGATCACCCAGGAGGGACTTCAGCCCAGCCTGCACCTTGCTGGGCTGTTGGTTTTCTAATTGCAAGAAAAGGATTTGTTTATAGGTTTTAATGCCAAAGGGTTACTGACTTTTTTTTAAAACCTGCAGACCGAAGTACTTGATTCTTCTAGAAGTCGGTACAGATTCTTTTTCCTCCAGGTCCTGGTTGTCCCAAAGGTGCTTTTTGTCAGGAGGCAACTGGACTTTCTTTGTTTTTTTCTTTTGAAGATGTTTTGCTTTTCATCCAAGGAGCTTCTTCAGCTCTGACTGGATGGTGGGGGAATGGAAGGATTGATACTCCTTGCAGACAGTTGGTCATTTGCATCCTTTGAGAGGGTCATTGAGGCCACTTGGAGGTTTATCTGTGTCCTCAGGGTCACCTGAGTGGTGCTCCTGGTTCCTGGAGTCTGCAATTTTTCCCCTGGAAATCCATTCCTACTCCCACACCATTCAAAGGGTGTCCATCCCAAATTGTATAGCCAAAAGTCTGTGGAGATTCTCAGTCACCCAGGTCATGGCTGTCCCAAAGGTGCTTTTTCAGGAGGCAACTGGACGTTCTTGTTCTTCTTTGAAGACCTTTCACTTCTCATCCAAGAAGCTTCTTCAGCTCTGACAGGATGGCGGGGAATGGAAGGATTTGAAGATATTTCTTTGATTCTTCTAGCTAACCAAGAATTAACCCAGCCAAGGATAGAATTCTCTGGTAACGAGAAGATGGTTTGTTGTGTAAAGCCTTACGGATCTTAAATCTGATGCTAGGTTGTTTATTTCCAAGAAGTAGAAGGAACGGGCCACAGCCTTACATTCAGAGCTCTTGAAATGCTGTTAGGAATTTACACATTTACGTAGGAGAATCATATAATATAGTTATACAGGGCTCCTAGCAGTGCCTTATATTTCATGAAAAACTATCCATGTAAAATCAAGGATCTTTCAATGCCTTTTTTACCGGCTTGTAGGAACGCAAATGTTCAGCTCGAATAATCAAATCCACATATACAGACTTCATTGATCTACTTTATTGTTTGTGCCTATTTCACAGGAATCTTTCCAGATTGGCAGTTTGTACCTGGGTCAGACTAGATAAGGTTCAATAGCATTCAAACAGGGTTCAGACTTTGCCCTCTTGGTGTGTTTCAAAAAAAAAAAAAATTCTTACCGGTTCGGAGAGCTTGCTTCGCGCACGCCAATTGTGCTTCGTGCACACATGCGCAGTGCTCAAACTCCGCCCTCTGGATCAAGGCTAGTGAGCTGTGCAGGGGCGCCTATTGTGTGCACAAAACACGCAAATTGCGCACGCACATCGTGCTCAGAGTCGGTCCTTCCCTGGTGATCTGTGCTGTTTTTTTAGCTCAGCTGAGGTGCAGCAAATCTGCGTAAATCAGCTGATCTAATAAACAGTTTAGTTTATTGTCCTTGCACCTCATACAATGAAATTCAGTACCATCTTCAGGGTACATTATGACTATGAAAATAAACACAAACCCACATCCTTCACATTCTACACATTGAATTGAAAACCCCTGATATTGCATTAATGTTGCACTATACAGTAGAATTCAATAGAGTTACTGCCCTGGGATAGAAGCTGTTTTTCAGCCTATTTGTCCTTGTTTTTATCATTATCCTGTACCGTCTGCCAGATGGTAACAGTTCAAAAAAAAAGGGTGAGGCCAGGATGAGATGGATCTTTGAGGATGTTTTGAACTTTCTTAAGGCAGCAGGAGTTATAAAGCTCTTCCAAAGAGGGGAGAGGGCAACCCATGATCCTCTGGGCAATG